CCTTCCCTACAGCTGAATTTCATAATAATCACTTTGCGTCTATCATACTAATAGTGAGTTAGTCAGGAAGTGGGGATTTAGCAGTTACTTAATAAAACCTTAGAACGTAAAATATCTTGTACCATTTCTACAGGATACTCAACTGATTGCCCACCCAGCTTTCCTACAGTTTTAAGGAAAGAATTTTTCTGCTATCTGAGTTTAAAGAATCAAAAAGGCTGATCGTTCTACAGTGGGCTAACTTATTCTTACCAAATATCAGTAAAAGCAAGGTGGGGATGGGACCCCCCCAGGGTGAAGGAACAGCACATCTGTTGCTCAAGCAACTACAAAAAAGTTTCATTCTACTACAGCACTTGAATTTCGTGCAGCACTTTTTGAGTGAAAAACAGGCAACCAGGTCAAATGTCTGCTCTTTCTAGGCTGGCTACTGGAATGAGTATGAAAGGTTTGTGCCTTTCTCAGATCAGCAAATCAGCAATGACAGTGCATCTGCAGAGAACCGCACCATAGTAGTAACCACCATTCTGGTAAGTATGGATGGAAGGTAGGTGGGCTTTCTGTACAGCAAGACTTCTGTCTTCTGAAAAGCATTATTCAGCCAGTAGGAAAGACCTCAAGTTCAAACAGTGGAAACTTCCAACAGGTCAGCTTAGGAATCTTTCGAAATGTCTTGCCATGATGAGGAACAGAATGTCATTTAAATAAACAAAAAGAATAGGAATTCGCAATAGTTTTAGATCTTGTTATCCTCCTTGTTACCCTCACGGACTGATGCTTCATCTGGACTTGAAATGTAATTCCTCATTGTGGGGGAGATAGCGTCATATGGAGGAAAGAGTAGGTCAGGGTTCTAATATTAGGTCTACCACTAACCTGAGTTTAACGGTGCAAATCACAACTTCTCTGAGCCTCGGGTTGTGTTATTTTTTAACTTATAGAATGGTCATCATAATAATCTCCTATCCATGTCATAAGACGTTTCAAGGCAACATTCACCATGTAAAGCTTTTCTGAAAACCCAAAAGCACTACTGGGATGTGAAATAGTATTTTCACTTATTTTCAAATGCTTTTCTAAAACCTGGTGTGTTTCATTACTGAATGAAGTGCAAACCCGGGTTAAAAATGAGTATATGCCTGAAAATGAGTAGGTCTGAAATTGTGATTAACTAAACGGAGATTCAGCTGAAGCTTCTCTTTCATTTAAACACGCCTATCAAATACTCACTTCGGCCTAGGTACTGTACGAGGCCCTGAGGATATAAAAATGAATAAGCCACAGACCCTGACCTCACAAAGATCACAGTGCTTCCCTAGGGCTTGCTGTGGTTCTTACATAGTAAATCCCAAGAAATCAAAGGCAGTTAACCTTCGTGTAACTAAGAGAAATACCTCTGCCCAACCTGACTAAATCAAAGACTTCACAGGTGGAAACTGGTTCTTTCAAACTCTCAAAAAGAACTTAAATTCTTCTCTATTTCCTTAAATCATCAGTTAAGGACTCCAAGGAATATGTGCCCCCATGAATAGTTGATTGAGGCTCTTCTGCTTATTAAGCAAACATTTTTAAAGGCTCTCTTAACACACCAAACCTCAATAGCCACAGGGGAACAAAACTTCATTATTACATTTATTATCTCTTAGAAAAATGTATAGGAGTAATCCTTTGATCTTGCTTCTGGTCTCAAAGGAATCACCATATGTAATGTATAAGAAGAATCACGAGCAACTGGAAGGAAATGAGCGATATGAAGGCTATTGTGTAGACTTAGCCTATGAAATAGCCAAACATGTAAGGATCAAATACAAATTGTCCATTGTCGGTGATGGGAAATACGGTGCAAGGGATCCGGAGACTAAAATATGGAACGGCATGGTTGGGGAACTTGTCTATGGGGTAAGTTTTTTTTCGACTCTGTTTTCATTTATTTCTATGCCTTCCAACTAATAAAGATAGAGGAATTTAATTTTCAAGTGCAGTATTTAACCAATTGTATAGTTTTCATATGATCTGTATGAAAAACGTTTTATTCTACAGTTGAATGCTGTAAAGGTAGCTTGTCAATAGCATCCTTTGGGCAACAGGATTATTTTACTAAAAGGAAAGTAGAATTGGAGAACTTTATCTGGCAACATTAAGTACAGCCTGCCCTCTATTGAAAACCTGTTCCTTCTGTGTTCCCGGTCTCAGGCAGCAGAATCACCACCCACCTAGTTGCCTAAGCAACCAGGTCATCTTTCCTCATCGCTCCCCTCATATCCAGTCAGTCACCATATCCTATCAATTCTACTTTTCTGTCTCTCAAATCCAGATACACTCTTCATTCCCACCATCATCATCTTAGTTACGGTTCTTACCATTTGACAGTCTTTACTTGGTTTCCCTGCCTCTGCTCCTACCCTGGCAAATCAAATCCACATTATTGTAGTTTCTCACTTTAGAAATCAGGATAAAATTCAAATTCCTTAGCATGGCAAAGAAGGCACTTTGTCACCTGGCCCCCACCTACCTCTCTAGTTTCATCTGGTCCTCTTCCTCCTTCACACTCAATGTTCCAGCTATAGCAAAGTATGCACTGTTCCCTGAAGACAGGCCTGGAAGGACCTTCACCTCTCTTCAGCAGGCTAACACCACCTCCCAGTCCTTCAGAACTCAGAGGTGTCACCTCTTTCAGGAAGCCTTCCCTAATCCCATTTACCCACCTGCAATCCGGTTAGCTGCCCCTGCTTTTTGCTTCCTTATAGTATTTTTTTTTTTTTGCTTTCTCATAGTACTTTTTTTTTTTTTTTTTTTTTTTTGGGCGGCGGCCC